TTCTTAAGACTCAATAAACATAAAACGGCTGTACAGTGTTCCTCAGCCTTTCAACTTACAAGACGAAATCTCCACCAGACTCGTCAAATCTTGCCATACTTTAAGCCATCTATAAGTAGCAAGAAGAAAAATGAAATTCACACGGTGAGTAAAACTTTTAATTGTGAAGTCGGTACTGGAGTCGATGGTTGCAAGCGCATGATGTAGATACCGCAGCTGAATGATGAGGGGAGTTTTATTCTGTCGTAATGCAAGTTATTCACACCGCTGATCAGTCGCCTGCCAAACGTTTAAATTTTCAAACCACTAGCTGGCATACCGCGAGTTCGAGACTCCTTGAAATGTTGTGAGCTGCGCACTGCTAATGATTCTGTGACAATGAAACAGCCGCACAGTGCTTCAGCGCGGGTTAACTTCAGTTACAGGGAGAAAGCCCTACAGCTATAGGTACCGTTTTTGGTAGGCTCAAAGCTTCAGTCCGTGGAGACTTGAGCGGACACTATAAACGCGTGTGATAAACCATCTTCCTCGTGATTATTTCACAAACTTTTCCAAAATGGGCACAGAGGCTACCATCCATGCACATTCAGTTGCAGTGGCCTCCACATCAACAGAGTTACGCCACCGGAATTTCAGGGATAACGAGGGGCAAGTCATTGTAATTGCAGTGCATGTGTTCTATATCCTGGTTTGCGACAGACAGCAGACATCAGTGCAGAAGAAACCGGGCTGATGAGCAACATCTTCTTGTTGACCTACTGGACTCAGTGTGAGAAAGTTTAACGTAGCAAAAATATCGGTTTTTGGATCATGAGAGCAGATTTTGAAGTATTTTGGTATTAGTCAGACACGCATAAACTGCAGCTGAACGGGTTGCATGGCTGATGGAGCTGTCGGACTTGATACCGAAGCCTGTGGAGGGAACGTTCAAATGTGGGTGATTTACAGGAGCATTCTCACGTTTTTGCTCTCTTGTACGCAGTAACTAAGCGAAGCAGGTGGAGGCATCTCGGGGCCGCCTAGGTGGTGCGGTACTCCCTTGGTTGGTATTATTTTTGGTTGTGACATCCATGGTTGCGCCCGGAATGGGATACTTTCAGGTTCCTACAGCCGTGCACGAGGACACTTGGGGTCCTAGATCGAAACATTTGGCTCGAAAGGTTCATCGCAAGACGGTGTACTACTGATAATACCATTACCACTTTTTGGAGAGCATAGTCACGAAGGCAAAAAGACGAGTGTGAGTGACTGATTCGTCAGTGTTTACACTAGACGTGACGAGGGAGATAATCCATTCAAATACGTGGCATCAATATTTCCGGTCGGACGATATGGTTTTCGACGCATGCATAAATGTTTGGTATGGAAACGCGTGTAAGGCCCAGCAAACGCAGGATGAACAAACAAGGGTGAACACTTTTCAAGGCGCAGTAGACGCTAACACAATGAACTCCAGCACCTAAGCCACGAGATATCTATCATACAGGATATAGTGCGAAAGTTGATGATAAGGGTGTGCACTCAATGCCGTTTACTTCACATAAATGTGTCGTATGCACGTAGATAGCCCGGGATTTTAAGCGAACATAAGTCATTGGGCCCGACCTTGGAAGCAACAGTCGAACAGCAGCCTTGGCGAATCGAGGAACGTAGATCCCTTGATATGATAGGATCATCGGTTGGTGACTCAAAAAATCAAATCACAATCGATCCTAAGCTGGGCTGAAGAACCATCAACACAATTGTTAGAGATAATTCCACATCCATACCGCTTCACCGCTCACAGTTAGGCGCTGCAGTGGTCATGATGCTTATCCGCACATGATTAGCTAGAAGATGTTCGCCTGTCGGCTCATCGTCTAATCTACCTCAAGTTGGTTCGATCCGGTATCCACGGCCTGCTGGTTTGCCGATACCGCATCTAGAAGGCGTCGGATTCTCTAGTGGTCTGGCTACCCAATAAGTTAGTTTACCAGGAGTGTGTGGCAAAGAAATAAAAATAAAAACGCTAGGTTGGGTATACAATAATAAAGAGATCAGATGTGACAGACTCACTAGCGCTTATTCTCTTTAAAATAGTTCCGGCGAATAAACAGCAATCCAGTTATGATGGTCCAGGGGTTTTCTTCTGAACAGTTCCCACATATAACAGATTTCGAAGATTGAAATGTTTTGATACCAGAGTTAGCACATGAGACTCGCGAATGACCGCTGCAAGCGCGAGCGAAATCAGAAGAGAGAGTCGAAGCATGTGACCACACTTGTATTCTGCGTGCGTTTTTTAGTTTTTCATATTCAAACAAAAGACGACTATGCAATTGACGAAATACGTAATGGAAGCAAAATAAGGGTACAAAACGCCACAATTCCCAAGGATGTGGCCGCATACATTTTGTACGTGACACGTCATATATGAGTTTCTGACCTGTGTTGAGCGTTGATACACGCTGTGCGCGTTTTGTGTCTTTTTGAGGAGAACACCTGTAAGGTTCTACCCGAGAGCTAAGCTGAGGAAATAGAGTTACTACAACCATATTTCTACTTCTCTCACTCCACGCCAATCCGAGACTATGCTTAATTTTTTTCTCAGCTGTTCGGTACTCCCGAATAGCGATCAGCTCAAGTTTGAAAAATCGCTGAAGTAGGTGCTCTCAACTCCGATGATGGTGTATCCCAGAAGACGAGGAAGTCTCACAAGTTCACTTGTGTAGTGTGCACGCTATGGGAGCACCAGGGTGCAGTGATTCTCCGAAGGCAGGTATTCACGACAATTTCTGTGGATGGAAAACAGAAATAAAGCTTGTGAGCCGAGGCCCAGTAAGCAAGGTTGTACATCACCAACACTTACATGTGAATGAATGGAACTGACAGGCACCGTATGCTACACACCTACAACCTGATTATTTCAGGGACATAGGACTTGATGTGGGACTGCAGTCTCACAGCTATTAAACGAAACAGCCCGTACTGTAACCTGATACGAACGTCCGTTGAGATTCAGGGGTATACCCCTTAAACGCCATAGGTGTCTCAAATGCGACCTGGGCCTTTCGGATTCGTACGTTAACCTTATCTTTCTCACTATAATCTGAACTAATACAACTCCGGAAGTAAGTAAAACGCTCCACAACTTCAAATGTCTCTCTCTGGACTGTAAGTGGCACGTTCAGTGACTGCATATGTAGCAGCATTACCTTACTTTGTGGGTACGAAGTACAAACCAAAGGCATGATTTTGGTCAGTTGGGTTGAGATGACTCGAGCAGTTAGGGCGTGAATTTACCGATCGGAAAGCCCATTGTTCTGACCCGACCTCTGCCTCTCGACTTCTCCTATCTGGGCTTGGGCAACCTGGCAGTATTTCAGTCCTCGTGCTTTCTTCGGGTGGCATGCCAGCTAGGCACCGATAGGGTGCTACAACTGAACTACTTGGAGGTTAGTCATCCCTGACGGACACCGCTTTGCTTACGGAAGCTTTCTGAGAACTCTCCACATACTATCACTTCCGGAAGTGAGCGTACAAAGAAAGTATTATGTTCACAGACTCTCGACGCATTCCTTGAGCTAGCTTGTTAAGGAAAACTGACTGGTTAGCCGAGTCGAATGCGCGTTGAAAATTCAGGAATGCTAAAGTTGTGAATCGTTTGTACGTGTGGTGTCCTAGCGTCTGAAGGGGCATGAATATTTAGTCAACGCAACCTCTACGATGCCGGAACCCTGCTTACTGTTCTCGTGTCACTTTCACGAACTACCATAAGCCGACGAGGCACGAGTGACGTGAGCACCATCGTTACGACTGAGGTCAAGCTAACCCCCCTGTAGTTATCACACTCACTACGAGCTTCTTTTTTGAGAGTGGGCACTTTCATTGACTCTCCTCAGTTGTCTGTAAGATTCTCCTTTTCCAAAAGCAGGTAAGGAGATTAGACAAGTACCGACTGAGGGCTCCAACCCCATTTTTGAACAACCCGGGTGGGTGGTCATTCGAACCAAAAGCTTGGTGGCTCTTGAGAGAACATATGCAGCCATAAACCTCCATAGACCTCCGCATCATCGGTTCGTTAGACTTGAGGTTTGGGACAATGAGGCCCTCACATGTTGTTTGCCAGCGTATGTGTACCTAATTGGGGTATCCTTTAGTAGACGTAGCTAGCTACAAATGAATGCCTGATGCATTCCTCCAAAATTTTGAGGGTGTCTTGGTGAATTCGCCCGATCAGGGCGAATCGGTCAGCCTCGGCCTCAGCTAGATCCCGTGATCCCCATTCTTTAATGCAGCTTCAATGGAACATGCTTCACGTCAACGGGCAGTTTGATCAGCTGCTATCGGTGGTCGCAGACCCCTTTGTCCTTGTCATGGCGTCTGTAGGACCCTGAGGATTGAGGAATTCCTCGGCGAAGCAGACTGCAAACTAACTGTCCATACCAACGCTTCCAATGTTTTTTCGGTGGCCGATGCTGAAGCAGCTAGAACCAGCGTACCTTCGTTACCCGGTTGAGAAGCTAGAATGAACAGTCTGGAATTCGAAGGGAACACGAGGGCTGAATTGCTGCCAGGTTGCCCAAACCTAGACGGAATCAATCAAAAACCCAGGGTTGGTTTCGAACCACGAACTTTTGTCAATTGTTTCGCGCCTTGATCGCTGAGCTAAGGTCACCAGCGGATTCGACCGAAAAGCGTAATCGGTTACGTTTTTGTGGTCCAGAAGCCACCATTAATAAGTTCGTGTCGTAAGGAACGGTTATTCCGTTGTCGGAAGTCCCAGTGGCTCAGCCCCGGTTACACCCGTATAAAGGAATCATTCAACCAGTTTTCCGCATAAATTTTACTTCCTCTGGTGTCAATCCCAAATCTTCGTTACTATAGTGTTTTACCAGACGATAAAAGATACGCATCGATCCTTCGTGGACAACTCAGTGCCTAAAGATCTTAGAGATTATGAGGCACCGTTTGTATGTCTGCAGCCAATCTTACTGCATTCTTTCCTCTTCTACAGGTGCTAAACGTTCTTCGGAAATTCGCCATTCTTGGAGCTGCCTGTCTGCAGAACAAGCATGGATATGCATGGGGCAGAGGTCAGAAGATGTGGGATACGACGGGACCCGCCAGCACTGGTTGTTGTCTATCATCTGGGGTTAAAAACTCGAAAGAGAACAATAAAGTTAGCTGATGTTCGTGACAAAAGCGTTGTAGACCTGTTCAATGAACTAATGAGGGATCCGTCCACCAAAAACTTGTTACAGAATGTCCCCAAAGCACAACTGATGCGGTTGCTGACTATACTCAGGGATCTGATACACAATGTTCCGCTTCATGAAAGTATCAAGAGATGTGACGAAGAAGATGTGATTTCCTCTGGTGAAGACTTGAACACTGTCCACCCTGACTTGTTGGAAAGGTAAGAGGTAGAGGGATTTGTGATAGTTTATCGTCTGAAAATCATGTTCGGATTGGCCAGCTTTTACTGGCTCAGCTAAAGCCTTTTACTAAACTATACCTAGTGGTTTCTTGTTTCATCAGTGGATTGTGTGCTGCTACATCACAACTATTAGTTACACAACAAGCGACCGACATGTTCGATCTCAATACAAGGAAGAATTTTTGTGAAGAGGTGCCAAGAATTTGGTCTCTTGTTTAAGTTGATTCCTGGTTGTCGTTTATTCGTGTTTAGGCTTGGGTAATCCTGCAGTATCTCACTCCAGTGGTTCCCATAGTTTGCATCCCTGGTCATGTCACTAACTCATTGCATAGAAGAATTTCAATTTTGAGGGAGTTCCAAAACAGTGGTGACTTAGTGTCCAGCATTATTGAGTTCTAAACGGAACTGTGGTCTTTTCTTGCTGTCAAACAACTACTGGGTACGAGCACTTTTTAAATGTATGGGCCATCGGGAAATTTCCCCATTGTTTACGTATCATCACTGACAGTAACAACGGATGAGAACACTGATGCTTTGGTGTCGTGCAGTCATGTTAATATATTTGAATGAAGTCTTGTGACAGAAACAAGGAAGAGAAGGGGAGGGTGCCACTCAGTCAGACGATTTGGATAGAAACTGACAGCATGAACACCATAGGCATCGGTTGGTTGCCATATCGTTCAGTGTATCCCGCCAAGCATAGGGAGGGTCACGTGTAAGCGTGCACTGCAGCATGACTACAGTTTGAGGGCTTGAAGCACATGTCGAAAGACTGGACAACCTTGGTCAGCTTTTCAACTAATGTTTGCGCTTCCTGCTCTTTTTCAAGAACGAGAGCATTGTCGTCTATGTATTGCAGGTCGAGAAGGTTCTCGCTTGATGAAATTGGAACACAGGGTTTTGGACACCTTCCACTGTTCGTCCCATCATCTCATTAACAACGAAATTGAACTCAAATGGAGAGAGTGGACTCCTTATCGGACACCACTACTTGTGGGAATGCTTTTGTGGAGCTCCCTACACACTCAGACTCCTACAAGTATATGAATGCAAACTGCACATGATATTCATGGACTTCTGGAGTGTATCCTGTTGCTCCTGTGTTTTGAAAAGAACTAACCGATCCGTAGAATCGAATGTACTCATGAAATCAGGGAACACCAAGACTGCAGGACGTCTATGCGCATGTTGTTGCTCAAACCCTTGATGAAATGTGAAGATGTGGTGCATCTAACACCTTCCAGACCGGAATCTTACGTGCTGTTCTTGCTGTTTTTAAGTCCCTCTTCATGCATCTTTGTAAGACGACGTAAAATAAGTGACAAGGAATCTGGTTACAACAGGTATCAAGCTGATTCTTTGGTGATTGCCGCCTTCATTGCGAGGACCTTCTTTGGAAACAGTCGCTACTGTCGACTCACTGCAGTTGCTTCGGATGACCTGTTTCTCCCATATACAGATAAATAAGGTGAGCAACCACCGACGGAGGATTTCACCTCCATCTTTGAACAGAGCGGGTAGGCGGTATTCAAGACCATGCTTCTCAGTGACGCTTGAGAGACAAAAGGAATTCACTTATGTCAGATGATGTCAGGGGTTTAGAATTCACTATCCAGGACTGCGTTGCCGGTTGGGATTCTGGTTGAGCAACTGCAGTTAGCCAGTTAAATTGGCCTCAAAGATGCTTCACTAATCGCCCGTTGTGCTTTTCAGCCGGAACAATTTACACGCATTCTAAAAGTTTCTCGGCTCCCCCAAATCCTCAGTTTTCTGGATCCACCAGGCTTCTCGATCTACACGGATGCTCTTTTTTCGCTGACACCTTTTTGAGTGGTGTTGCGCTGTTGACCAGAGTGAATACATGCCCCAGTTCGGAGCAAATTTAGGGTTGCTCGAGATCCAGTCGGCATTACTGTTCCACAGGTGGAGCGCTCAGCATCTTTCAGGGTCGCGGACAGTACCTTCCACTAAGGACCAGCATCAAAGCACGTGATGTCCAAAAGGGACTTCAGTAGGTTGTTTTGGTAGGCTTGCTCCATATTAAGGTCTTAATCCTCTTAACGGCCAGGCGAGGTGTACGCATCTTGCGCACACCTGAATACCGTCACGAAGAGACTGGACCTTATCGTCTTAACGGCCGAGGTGTACGCATCTTGCGCACACCTGAATACCGTCACGAAGAGACTGGACCTTATCGTGGTGTGGCGGTTTGTGTACCTACCTCACCCATTGAGCTATACTGGGCGGTGTCCGCGCGACACTCACAGAGTCTCTCATACCAGGTTGGTCAATGGTTAGAGGTCTGACGAACACAGTCTCCTGGCCCTCCAGGTTGGGGGTTGGAACATGCATGGCGACGTGTTCCGTAAAAATGGTAATGTGCCTGCATTTCCAGCCGAACACCACTGCCTTGCGGTTTGGCTTTCGAGCCAAAGGCTTTGGTTGAGGAGCCTAATCGTCCTCCTGTTTAGATGTGGGTGCCCTGACAGTATTTCAGCCCTCCGACAACCATGACATACACAACTAACAATATTCTCAGCCACATCGGCCGTCGCGTGGTGCCATCAGGCGGGTTGCCTTACTTGCTGCATACAGCAGGGCGGGTAAGCGAAAACATGCTACCGCTGACACCTTTCTTACACTTTCACGTCTTCCGTCTTTCACCCTCTCCCGGCCAAATTTGAATACTTTCTCCGCAGGTCCCAGCTCTAGGACTGACCGTTTTGCTCGCCCTGCGTCACACTCAGCTGCAGCTTTGGCAATTCCGAGTTCAGTTGCAACCCCGAAAGCCTGTCTGCCTAGCCACCTTCAGTGTTCGCACACTGAAGCAAGCAGGTCAACAGGTAACTCTCGCTTCTACGCTGGATTCCCTCTGCATTTATTTATGTTGTTTGTCACAAACGAGGATGCAGGACGCAAGTACTGTGATCGAACTGACTGCCCCCTCACTCTCTTCCAGGTTCCGGCTGCGCACCTCTGGTGATGCAGGGGCCTCCGCAGTTGGAATGCTGGGGTGGGTATTGTATTGGGCGACCGAACGAAAGCGTCTCTGCTTGATTGGATACCCGTTGATGGTTCATTCTGTGTGGTTCGTTTGGCAACAGCTATGAGAGAATCTAGAAAATGTGAGGTTCATCGCACCCTGTTTATTGTTTCTGCTTACGCTATGACCGTAGCTCTGAATCTGTCAAGGACCGTTTCTATGACGCTCTAGGTGCCCTTCTAAAGCAGGCTAAAAGCTCAGATATCGTTGTGATTGCTGGCGAAATGGACGCCCAGGTAGATAGACTAAGCGCTGCTGAGGCCCGATTGGGTGGTCGTCCTGGTTTGGACACGGGACGCACGGACAACGGAGGCCGCTTACTTCAGATGTGTGCCGATAACTGACTGTTCCTTTACAATGCGAACGCTCCGAAACAGTGGAAATCGCTTGACAACGTGGCGTCCACCATCAAACTAGCGCCGAATCCAGATAGACCACAACGCCGTCAGTTATCGGTGGCGAAGGTCGATCACCGCCTGCCGCTCCTTCTGGAACACCAGCGTGGACTCCGACCATGCACTTGTACGCTGCTGCTTTTCATTGCGCTTTTCAGATGTACGCTAAATGCTAGATATGGCCTCTACGGATAGATGATGTGGGGCGTCTTCCGGTTTTCGACCACTCATGCCTCAGAAGCGTGGCTGGTTATGGATGGCGTCAGGGTGTTAGTAACGAGGTGATTGGAAAATGGGTATTTGGTTATGCTGCAGGTACTCCAATCCGAGAAAACATCCACCATAATCGACTACGATGGCTCGGTCATGTGCTGCTCATGCCGAAACACCGTCTACCGAGACCAGTGTTTTTGTCCGTGCCTCCTTCAGGATGGCGCAAACCATGAGGTGGGCAGCACATGACTTAGTAGAAAGGCGTTAAAGATATCACGGAGAGCTTGGTTGTTGTTGGTGTTGTACGCCTTCTAGGATGGGTCCGCGTGACCTCGTCTGCATGGCTGGAGACGTTGCAAGAAATGGCGGTCAATCGATGTCAGTGGCGTTCTGGCTGTCAGTTTTTTTCCAGATTGTCTGATTAAGCTGTTGGAGGTGTAGGCCCATCAGAATGCTTGACATAGGTCTGCAATAGGTTCCCTCCCTCACCCACTCTTTTTCTCTTCTTTTCACCCTAGTGTTGCGAGAGTCGAGTAGTTTCAGGACGGGATTAGAAAGGAGACAGAATAGGAAGACGTAATGTACGCTTTAATCGTCTAATAACTGTAGTACATGAGCTGAAAATAGAGT